CCTGGGGAATTCTTCACACCACGGAGCAGTAATGATTTTGGTAAATCAGACTACGTCCATCGACTGTCTGCATTTATGCGAACGCTGTCTCCAGTGTCAACTCGAATACAACATCGACAGGTCGCTCTCCCTCGAGAGTTATCTACCTGTTCAAATGTTTTCATACGAGTAGATTCGGTACGTAAACCTCTACAACAGCCTTACGAAGGACCTTTTCACGTGATCTCTCGTCACGAAAAGATCTTCAAGGTTGATCGACACGGCCACGTCGAGATCGTCAGCATTGATCGTCTCAAACCAGCACACGTCGATGACAGTGCCCTACCCAATAACTTGAGACTCAATGCTAGACCTACCAAACCTTCTAGCGGGATCTCTACGTCTACCTCGGATCCCACGCTAGATACATCAGAGACCTCGTTCTCACGTCCCGGTCAACAGCACGCGTCATTTGCACCATCTACGGACGAGACTTCCGTCTCACGTCCAGATCGGCAGACCACGCCGCCCTTGACCTCGGATGAGATCGCAGGCTCACGAAGTACGAACGAGACCACCGTCTCACGTTCCGGTCGCCGAGTACGATTACCCGTACGCTTTCGCGACTAAACGCACAGTCAATAACGGATACGGTGTAGGATTATTCCTATACTACACGCATGCTACACTTTTCTTTTTTTTGATTTTTTTTGTATCCTGAGCCCACGCCTCCGACCATCGCCCGTTCGGTAACGTCGACTTCAGTCAACTTTGGCAAAAGCTGGTTTGGCCACCCACGCTCTAGTCAACGCACTCAGTCGATTATCTGGTCTCGAATTCGCCTGGCACACGCTTGGTAGTTATTGTCGCGTCCGGTTTCTTGGCTCAACGTGGTTTCGTCCTATGTCTGCAGCGTTTTCTGGTTCGCATCCCTACGAACGCAATCATCAGATCCTGGATACAAACCACTCTGGTGTGGTATGCTAATTCGACCAACAAATACAGCACACTTCTGGTACTGTTCTGCGCAAAAGACTTTCGTTGGCAACTCGAGGATCAACGATCACTTCCTGTTCCGCCAATTCTTCCGTCCTACAACCGCAATTCCGCCGATCAGTCCCACGAACTAAACCGCTAACTATCGAAAGTGTAAACCCTTTCTAGCGGGGGGCTCCTGTAGTGACCTACTTTTGTCAACAGAACGCGATTGGTTCGATGAAAACAATTATTATTATAACCAATTGTACCAGTGACTGTTTTACTGTGCTCGTTTGTTTAACTGTGCTAATAACAGCCATTTTGGTCTTCCATTGTATTCCATTGCTTCTACGCGGTTTTCGACTACGCACGTATCTTTTCTTGCCGATCGCACCTGTACTCCTTTGGCACGATCTCGGTATTCTTTCGATACCACAAGATTGCCAACAAATATATTACGACTACTACTATCATCTGCCTTCTGATTTTTGGCCTACCGGAATCTTATTGGTCTATTGGCACGTAGTCTTGTAGCGGTGTTCATAGTTAAGCTCAACTCGACACTACGCCACAGATATTATGGAGATATTTTGTAGTTTCGGCATGTTGTGTCTCCATTGAGTAGTAGCTGAAACTTTTATGTATCAGATTTAGTTTCAATATAACCACTGACTTCGGGTGCTTCAAGGAAACTTCACAATCTGTACAATAGAACGCTGTGGTTAGGATCAGTTTTTTTTATTGCCGTTCTTTCGGGTCACATTGGAGTTCACATCGAACATTTTAATTTCAGTTATTATAAAGATTTCGACAAAATAACTTCATTATTGACAATAAATTTGTCCGTGGGACCCTAATTTTGATTTGGAAGAAAATATTAGGAAGAGAATGCACATAGTACTATAGCTTTTGTCATACGTTTTATATACTCAGAAATAATAGAATACATGGTCATTTCGAGTGAAATTCATCTGCTTTTTCGTGGAGTCAGTACACAATTCTTAGAGACACTTAAATACACACCTCCATTCATCGGCAAAATAAACAAAAACATTTCGTTGTCGGATTACAACGTTAAGAATGCTACTGCGTGGAGCGAATTGTGTGGTTCGATTTTGGTCAAGCATAAAAGTTCGTCACTTTGTAGAGGTATATGGTAAGCACAAAATCCTCATTCAATTAGACAGCAACCCAATCTTAACTCGTAACCTGGTGTTTTCGTTCTAACGGTGATTGATCTCTGGACTCAAACAAAGAAAGTTGACTCACACATGACGAACTTTACTCACGCTAGTCAGAACGTCAAATTTCTTTTTAATACGACCTCAGGCTATTTTAGGCCAAATATTTCAACGAAGTACGTGTAAATTTACGAAGGCTGAAAAGTTCCCAAATTTGTGGATCTGTGATTTAAAGTAACCTGGTTATTGTCTTGTAAACTTCCTTCTGAAAGCTCACGATTATGCGAAAATTGATGGAAATTTCATGGAATGACCGGATTGAAGAAAACTTCTTAGCATGTATAAAGTCCAATTAGAGCATTCTAATCAACGTTACTCACTTGTTCTGTACAGTTAAACCAATTCAATTTTCGAAAACACGCATATGGAGAAACAGGGAAGATACTCCTACCGTTTATTTTAACAGAAATGGAACGCTTTGTGGGCATTATCTCCAAACGGTTAGTGATTAAGAAGATGCCCCTGGTATAGGTCAGGTCAACCATGTTTTACTTTCCTGTCTAACAAAAAGACGTTCCGTGTTGTCAATAGAATTTGATCACTAGGGTAGACCTATGACGGTTAAGATGAACGTCAATATAATCCCATGTGAAAAGAGACATTAAAATTTTTCCTGACAGTCGCACAAATAAAAGGGTGCAAAATGATACGTTCAAGTTCACGAGCTGTGTTGTCAGGTAGCTGGGCATCAGAATTAAATTATTTATATAAATAGTTTGGTAATAGCGAAATGTACGGAATTTTTTTACTGACTTATCTCGTGTTATTCTAGACAGTGTAAAGGTGCTATAGCTGTTGTTATTGTGAAGATTCACACTCATACCCATTTTAGGTAGTGAAGTTAGTGAAGCGACTGACCGTTACATTTATGGCACAACACGAGAGCGAATGGAGCGGTTTTACTCAAACATAAGGAATCGTACCATCGTGTCCGTAATCATACGACCCTTGAAGCCAAGCACACAATAAATGTGAAAACTTAAATAAGCCTATGAAAACTTTGATAAGGTCAATATAGATCAACTAGGGAACGATGAATCGAGTTGACATGACACCTTGAACATATTCTGTAGTGTTTTCTGAAGGAAACATTATGGCTGTCACTACAGGACAGGTCAAAATAAGCAATGATGTGACCGTAGAACTATGGTCTTGTTCAGTATTAGTACATTTATCTTGGCTACTATAATAATAGACATCCAGAATAATAGGTTGGTGAAACTGTGTCAATCCTGACAGATTGCCTTCCAGTGAAGATCCAGCTTCTCCTTAAGAATATTTAGTAATGGGGCTGATACCACTTGTTCGGGTAAGGCGTCCCAGCCATTGTCTACTCGACGAGAAAAGCGGGAGTACACTTTAAGTTCATTAGATCGCGGTTTGTGAACCTTCTTGCTATGGCCTCGCAGATAATTAATGCTCGAGGGAGCAAAAAGATAAGATATATTAACACCCAAATCATAATTAAAGAATACCTCGCGTCATACGATACGACAAGGAGAAAAAGTTTAGGTGTTTTAAGTTCTCATCGTAAGGGGGTTTAGAATGACCCTTCACTAATTTCGTTCTCACATACTCGGTGAAGTGATCATAACGCACGATAACCTTTGACAGCAGCTGCGTTGCCATGCGTAGTTGTTTTCAAGTCATGACTTATTATTACTCCTAAGTCTTTATGTTCTTGAACGCATGGAAGCGATGTACCATCAATAGTATAATGGTAACTACTACAGTGTCCGATGTAAATGAGCACAATATTCCCAGAATTAACTTCTAAGCCCTAACCTCGAGCCGATCTAATTAACTCATCTAAGTCAGCTTATAGATCAAAATGATTAGCCTCACTTCTTATTTTTCTCCAGATTTTGGCATCATCCGCAAACAGTAATGCTAAAGACCCAATCAACTCATTAACGTAGAGAAGGAAAATTAGAGGGTCTAAGGTGGTGCCTTAGGGTATACCACTTTTGACGGGCTTCCGTCCGGATAGCGTTCCAATGACCCTCATTTTCTGTCTGCGGCTACGTAAGAAGTTCCCTATCCCTTCCTGTATAGCGCCTGTTATTCCGATGCTCTAGAGCTTCTGAACAAGACCTAAGTGTGAAACCATGTCAAACGCGATGCCAAAATCAATGAACATCACATCGAGAGACAGACTGTTATCTAGGGCTGCTGTCCAATCTTCCCTCACAATAAGTGATTTAGTCGAACATGAACGATTATTATGAAACTCATATTGCTCCCCCATGACGCATAACTAGCTTAAGTGAGTAGGTAACCAAGACTTTTGAGGCTTCATCTGTTATGTGAGTTTCGATTTGCAAGTCCTCGTTTTCAGCATAAGGCGAATATGTCAGAACGAGTTCAACGATAAGAAGCCGAAATGGTTAAATATGACACTGACCTGTTTTATGAAAGCAGACCAAGACGCTCCAACCTATTTCCGTCAGCTTACCACAGATAACGAGGTGATTTTATACTGGCTAACCGTACAGTGAATTAAGATTCCGGTAGAAGTATTTCTTATTCGTTTTCCTTCACCAGGGCCTGGTTTTCTAAGAAAGGCTGTAACCACGATCAAGTCGCTTACGTCTGAAATTCCGTTTCTCGTGTAGATCAATGGATTACTTGAATTCTCTATCGACATTTTCTATTCATACATTCAAAGCGTATTTAAATCTTCACAGTACTACAAATCCCAAAGATTAATATAGGTCGACTGACATATATTCACTACTGAAGACTGAGACAAAATTGTACAGGGACAGAAAAAAATCTATCAATAAACTCCATTTTATGACTAATAACAAAGTTTAAGTCTGATAATTTACAAAAATCAATTCTGAATGGTAAAGCCTTATGACAATACATCGGCCAATATACTTCTTATTCTGCATCAGACGTTACGTGATCACATCTACGTATTTAGTACTCTGTTTGAATTTGTACGCGTATAATTTGTGAACATGAACGTAAGCGATATAGGGAATGTGAGCGATACGAACGGAACCATTACAAACCTGGAGTTCAATCTAGATTCCATGATTACTAATTCAGCACTGTTTCTCTTGGCCATAGTACCTATTTATATAGGTTCTTTTCGCTCAATAACTAGTAAGAAGTCAACTGATGAGGTAGAAGTTGTATCAGGTAAAGATGCAGCACTGTTCCCACTTCTCGCCAGTGCTGCACTTTTCGGGATTTACGTCGTATTTAAGGTTTGTCTGTGTATGTAGTTCCACTATGTTGAAGTTCATTCCTATTCAGTACATCAACTCTGTTATGAAGTTATATTTTTCTTTTATGGGTGCTTGTGCAATATCCCGGTTCCTGTCGTAAGTATTTATTCTGTTAACTGTATGTGTAGACCCATCTTTCGCCCGTATATGCCGGGTTGTGTAAAAAATATGCGGTTCAAGTTTGAGTTTTCAAGAAGTTTAGAGAACTCAGATGGTTCTGAATCTCAATGGAATTTATTGGGTAGGTAACCATGATTGTCTACATCTCACCTGATAGACAACTATGATTTTTCAGTTGAGTCGAAGGATTTAATAGGCACTGGCATCGGTATTTTGCTTGGCACTTGGTACTATTTTTCAGGAGTAAGTCAAAATCAATAGCTTTATTACGTAGCATTGGATTGCGAACAATTTCATTGCAGTGACAGTTGCTATTTTGGCCATCGAATTCATAAGGTTAAATAAGTTCGTAAATGGCATATTACTTCTTTGCGGACTGTTCGTATATGATATATTTTGGGTAGGTTACATTTCGTGCTATCCTTTAAGTTCAGGTGTTTGGAACTGGTGTCATGATGGCTGTCGCAAAAAACCTAGATATTCCAATCAAAGGTAAGTAATCTTATATCTTTCGTCAGACACAGGTCTATTGTATTTCCTGAGGTTTATTACTACGTTTTACTTGATACCATTTTATTATATCACTAATGAATCCTGAGTATAATGCAGTCGTTTCGTTAATTTGCCATTAAGACTGAACTCGTTCATTTAATGAAAGTAATCACATTGCTGAGATTGTTGCATTTAACTAGTTAATATTGAAGTAGTTAAACCAAGTATTTACACTTGAAAATTTTCAAGGTAATCTTAACAAGTTTTCCATTTGATTACTTTTGTTGATACACCAAATGAGTTGTAAAGTGCAATAGTCGATTGTGTGCAATATGTTGCAGATGACTATCAGTAAGTTTACTGGAATTAACTTAGTATATGCTTATACGTTGGCAAGCTCTCAATAATAATTGTTGGTAATTTTCCCGTCACCAATTAATTATTTATTCAAACACATAAACATTGGTACAAGAAGGCACCAAATAGATATGCACCACACAAGTCATTTGATTTGTGTATGGGCTGTGATACTTCCGGGGTGTCCAGACCGAAGCAGATGGTTTTCTTAAGGAGTCACACTTGGAGCCTTTGACCTAAATGTTTGATCCACAAGGCAGTGAAGCAACGTAAGGAGATGCAGGCCCATGGTAGCCGGTAACCAATAATTGGTTCATACGCCATTTGTTCCTCCGGGATCCTGGAGTCCATGTGCACCATTGGCTTGGAACCAGGGTTTTCCAACTTCGTTAGGTGGATTCTCCGTATCCACTAAAGCGCAGGACATTCGCTTTTTGTCCTCTCAATTTCGTAAACAACACCCCCGCCACGAGAAGGCAGTGAGTACGACTTCCCCGGGAGTGGCTGCATACGCTTGACCATGTGAGAGCATATGGAGAGGGAGAGCTGACTCTCCCCACCCTCGGCCGTACCAGGACATTTGGAGGCATATTTGAGAATCGTTTACAAAGGATCAGATTGATTTGATCTGTATCTCCCCCTGGATGTCTGAGTTCTAGTATGATAACTTTACGCCAACTTTTCTCTTCAAGAGCGTTTTCTGCACCTATTTTTTATTACTATCTTGGATATTATAATTTTTAATCTCTCGTTACTTATCTCGGTTTTATCTCAGTGTGTTATTATGAAGTGAATTGAGCCAATGCATGCTTTTACCACATCCTACGTTGATGATTGATTGGGAGAATCCTCTGCAACAAAACGTTCACAACAAAAATAAACAGGAGTGTCGATGCCAAACTCTGTTGATACACAGCTTAAAAGTTTCGTTTGATTATAAACAAGTTATGTTGTCAGTCAGTCAGTCAGTAACAACGTGGAACTTCGTACGTACGTACATCAGTTCGAGTTGCCATACCACATTAGCACAGAGATTCAGTTATCGATTCAAATCCCATAGTGGTAGAGGTACTGAAAGTATAAGTAGAGATAGGGGACATGAAGGTTTGATGATGTTATTAGAGGAGTATAGTCCAGTGGAATAAATTGGGAAAGAAAATAAAGGACATGAAGAATTCAGAAGATTAGAGTTTGAGAGAACACAAAGAGTGGATGCACCTGCGCCATTGCAAACGATTTTGAGCCATGTCATTCAAGGTCTCTAACCATCGGTTGCTATCGTCTCGCGGACCCCAACCAGGTAGTCTACACCTACCAACATGACTCAGTCCACTTGTCAGTGACTTCATGGATTTGTGCCATGTTTTGGTCTGGCCGCCCCTAGCTTTCTTCCGACCTACTCCTACACCACAAAACATAGCACGTCGGGGCAGTCGGTGGTCGGGCATGCGCAGCACATGTCCCAGCCATCTCAACTGATTAAGTTTCACTACTTCGTCAATTGATTCGCCATCCTTACCTAGTACCCGTTTCCTAACAACTGAGTTACTTACTCGGTGGTCCCAGGATATACGAGCAATATTTCGAAGACACCTATGGTCAAATACTAGTAACCTACGAATATCCTCTACTCTTACAGGCCATGTTTCACTGCCATAAAGTAGGACGGAACGAACTGCTGCGCAGTAAACACGTCCTTTGGTTGATAGACGGATATCTCGCCTACGCCACAAATGACGCAAGTTGGCAAAAGTTAGTCGAGCCTTCTGTATCCGTGCTGAGATTTCGTCACACACCAAACCACAAGGGCTGATGAGACTTCCGAGATAAGTGAAGCGGTCAACACGCTCAACAACTTCACTCCCTATCACTAATTCGGGTGTCGACGCAACCCTATCCTGAAGCAACATTTTGCATTTCGAGGGAGAAAATCGCATGCCGAACATGCTTGCATTGTTGCTTAGAGTGGTCAGTAGATTCTGCATTCTGTCAGCGTCTTCACCAAATAGAACTATGTCATCGGCATATTCTAAGTCAACAAGTGGATCTCCCGGTAGAAGTTCAACTCCTAGAAATTTAGATGAGGAAAGTGTCATCTCTAAAAGGACGTCAACAACAAAATTAAACAAGAATGGAGAGAGTGGACAGCCCTGACGAACACCACTTGAGGTAATCAGTTCTGATGACAGTTCGCCATAAGCTCTCACTCGACCAGTTGTGTTCGAGTAGAGAGCCTTTATAAGGTTAATGTACTTCTTTGGTACTCCCTTCAGTGACAAACACTGCCATAGAACCTCACGATCAACAGAGTCAAATATCGCCTTAAGGTCGAGAAATACTACCATTGTGGGGCGTCTGAATGTGTGTCTATGTTCTAGGACCTGACGTAATGTGAATATTTGATCAATACAACCACGCACAGGTCGAAAACCAGCCTGGTTTTCTCTAGTCTGCTCTTCACGAGCTTTGGTTAGACGTCGAAGTATTATTGAAGCTAATATTTTAGACACTATATTAGTCAAACTAATTCCTCTGTGATTGTCACAGGAGGACTTTTGTCCTTTCTTATAGACTGGTACAATCAGTGATTGAGACCAGTCAGATGGGATTACGTCGAGTTCCCAGATTCTACCTAAGACCTCATTCAATCTCGCTGCTAATACTGGACCGCCATCCTTGAAAATCTCAGGGGTAAACCTGTCAGGGCCTGCTGCTCTCCCACGCTTCAGATTTCCTATAGCTTTTTCAACTTCGTAAAGAGTCGGAGGACTTACATCAACTTGCTATTCAGGTAGATTGGAGATCGTGGGAAACCGAAGTGTGGCTGAAGGCCAGTTGAACTGATCCCTAAAGTGTTCTGCCCATTGATCCAATCTCCTTGGTTGAGAATGAATAATATGTCCATCTTTCTCTGAGATTGTTTCGCTAACAGTTGGGTTCCTAATACCGGTTTCCTTAACAAGTCTGAACAGTTGCCTGCTGTTACCTATTGCCGCTGCCTTTTCCATCTCTCTTGCTTTCGCTACCCACCATTGTTCACGATCATTGCGTAGGCTTCTGGTCAGCCTGCGCTTAAGCTGACTCTGCTCTTCGTTATGTTCAGAGCCAGATGGAATGAGTTTTCGAGCATCTATCTGTGCCGTAGATGCTGCTGAGATCCAGTGTTTCTCCCTAACCTTATGGTTTACCGTACTTGCAGACATCACTGCTGTTTCTACAGCTTTTCGGATGTCATTCCACGCTGCCTCGGGGTGGGCGTCACTTACATGGCTGTCTAACTGTTTTTCTAGATGTTCCTGAAATATACTCTTAGCTTGACTATCATTTAGTAGGACCCTAAGGGGTTTCCTTGCAGCATGTTTCCTACGTCCAGTAAGACGTAGACAAATACGCGCTCGCACTAGAGCATGATCTGAGTCTAAGCATGTGCTCCAGAATGAGCGAGTCTTCTATCGAGCCCGTCCATCGGTGGCTGATAGCGATGTGATCTATTTGGGTCTAGCGTTGAGACGAATTAGGGGGTCGCCATGTTAAAAGATGTTTTTCCTTATGCCTAAAGTTAGTGTTTGCAAGAAACAGCCGGTTATCTGAGCATAGCTGAAACAGACGGTCGCCGTTATCTGTTCTTTGAGCCGCGACACCATAAGATCCACCCAGGTGACTTTCCTTTTCGCTTAGTTTACCTACTTGAGCATTAAAGTCACCAGCCACTATTACTATATTTGAACGCCTAGCTTTTCGGAGAAGGTCGGAAAGCTTTCTGTAAAACTCATCTTCTACATTATCTGAGCTGCAGTTAGTGGGAAAGTAGGCAGAGACGACGAAGAGGCAACGACGAGTGTCCCTATCTTTTCGAGTCCTTACTGTTCCGTTTAGTCGAACAGCACACAAACGACTGTCTACTGGGATCCAGTCTAAAAGAGCTAGTTCTGCCCTAGGACTCAATGCTATACCTACACCAGCGAGGCCACGGGATGCAGCATCAGGGCTTCCAGATACACGAAGCGTAAATCGAGTTGGTTCGTTACTTTGACATGGTGCGGTCAAATGAATGACACTACTAGGATCCTGTGTGCGCGTTTCGGAGACGCAGCACACATCGATGGAGCGAGATTCTAAAGTCCTAGCTAAGGAAGCCTGTTGTCCTATTTGGCACAGTGTTCGGACGTTGTAAGCTCCTACGTGTAGTTTGGAGCGTGGTTTCAGGAGACCAGGAATAACGTTCCGCGTACTCGAATCGTTAGCACTAGTGGGGCGAGGTGATAAAGGGACGTAAGAAGGGTTAGTCGTGGAGATAAGAGAGTTATTAGGTGTAGGAAGGATTTGAATGTGACCAACTTGGTCTCGTGTGCTGTTACGGGTATGAGGGCTGATATAACTTCCCGGTTGCCCACACCGTGGAAGGGTATTTCTTGAGGGACCTGAAAAGGAAATCCGATTAGTGTTGGTCTTAGCGACCTGAGTGCGTGACCGCAGAGCCCAAGGGACAACTGCTTGAGGCCGGTCGCGCACGGCCTTTTTGTGGGAGGTTTTTAATGTGTTAGCTCCGTTCTTCAAAGGGCCTTACCGACGGAGACGGAAATCCGTGGGGTATGGTGAGGTGTGACATTTTTAGGGTCAACCTTTTCTAACCCCTTCCTTCCTTGTGAGAATGCAGTATCACTGCAGATGCTGGTTGTCCGAGGGAAACACCTTACTGCTGTCATACCTCTGTACAGTCAGCAGTACGACTTCGCCCTCAGACCTTGAGTTGCTGCTTTTAGTCTTACCGTTCTCCAATCGACCTGCCTGGCATGGTAGAACCTGCAGGAACATGTGTTCCAGCCAATATAGCTCGGTTGGGTCATCACGATAGGCAAGCCCGACTACCACGTCAAGGTAGCAGCTACGGTCGGGCCATTGCATGCTTTTACTACATCCTACGTTGATGATTGATTGGGAGAATCCTCTTCAACAAAACGTTCACAACAAAAATAAACAGGAGTGTCGATGTCAAACTCTGTTGATACACAGCTTAAAAGTTTCGTTTGATTATAAACAAGTTATGTTGAATCGCATTGTAAACTAAGTTCTGGACAGGCGTTCAAGTTCCTGGTCAAAACCATTATAAGTAATAAGGAGAGCTGTTTTTTGCTATGTTGACCGCGGGTTTAATGTGGATCATAAAACGCAAGACAACTTACCAATAGCTTTAACTAATCCACCTATGATCAAAAGTACTAGTCGTGGGACACTTGGTATTTGACGGATGCGATGCATAAAATCTTACACTAGTGTCTGAAAATTAGGGGCTTCTCATGATATTCTGTTTATGTTTACTGTTTTAGCCGACTACGGGGTCCTTGGATAAGATTAATTCTTAAAATATTGGATTTGGGAAGTTGTTTACTGTTTCAACAGTCTAGATAGTTAGTGTTGTTTTCCAATTCATATACTGTTGCATCGTATTCTCAGAAAGACTTGAAATAAACCACTCAAGCTTTGACGAGAATACCCAAAATGTTTATTTAGGTTTATTTTTACACATAATGGGTGCCGGCCATTAATTATTCTGTGATCAAGAATAAACAGGGATGCCATACTTGTTTGGCTGTTGACATTAATCCAAAAAACATTCCTGAAGCATACTGTATATGGCGATTTGCTGTTACAGTTGCTATCCTGAATGAATTATCATAGCCCATACACAAATCAAATGACTTGTGTGGTGCATATCTATTTGGTGCCTTCTTGTACCAATGTTTATGTGTTTGAATAAATAATTAATTGGTGACGGGAAAATTACCAACAATTATTATTGAAAGCTTGCCAACGTACAAGCATATACTAAGTTAATTCTATTCGGCGCATCTTTATACCAATATTTATTTGTGTTCAAATAAAATAATAAATAATCATTCATCGTCTCCAGAATCCCATTCCCAAGAAAATTTTTATATCTCTGATTTTTATTAGTTAAGTCTCTTATCCAGAAATCTAATCAACGTGAGCGGACGCTGAGTTTATGGTATTAGTATTCTACTGAGAAAATTAGGGATGTCCATGTGTTTACTGGGTTTCGGAAGTAAGAATGCCTTAAAATTAAACCATTTTAACTTTTTTTTAAAAAAGTTAGGGATGGTTGAATTTTTAACTATTATATCAACTGCAATGGATGGAGTATCCTAGTGCATCTGAAAGTTCTTTTAGTTCTCACTTACACAATCCGTAGGCAAGCGTTGACCTAGTGGTTGATGGATTCGTAGGTATCTTCATCTTATAGTATATGTGTAGCACATTTAACGAATGAGCAATAATATCGTTAACCTGCACTACCTGTAGCGATTGGGTTGTCACGCATACCGAGTTACTGTCTACTGCATTGTGGTATCAAACTTCAAATACTAGAAGTAATTCAACCATATACTCTTGTCTGAAGACCTATTGCTAGTGTGCCGAATCCTTGACTCCCCGAATTGATCATCTGGATCTCAACCCTTCACTTTTTATGTAAATATGTTTGCTTGCACCTGGTTGCATCGTTATCGTAGCTTAACCGTAAGAAATTACTTTGGAAATAATGTAACGATGATATGTGTATGGGTTTCATAATAAATACATCTGAGGTTGCCCATCTATTCATGTTTATCCACTAACTATTAAAAACAGTAGTAGCTTAAGTACAAACATTTAGTGTTCCGCCTTCCTAGAAGTGAGGACTGCCTTGCATGCAAGCATTTCTGTAATATTAGGATGGTCATTTTGTTAACATCAAGTAAGCTATATCGCTAATTATTTATAGTCTATTTTCATTCATTTAAACGTGATAAAATGTTGAATGTTGTTACCTTATCTTTTTAGTTACTTTTCCGCGTGATTTTCTTTCACATGGATTATTTGGCAAACAGTTAGCCTTGCTTGGTCTTGGTGATATAGTTGTTCCAGGAATATTTATCGCCATGCTTCTTAGGTTCGATACAAAGTAAGTTAGTTGCCACCTTTGCAATCATATAAGAACTCTCAAAATATGACTTTGCAAATTGAGTATTTTAGCACTGTGTTTTATATATTCCTTTGTACATAAAGCTTCGTTAGTTAATAATGGTGCAAGTGTAATGACAGCGATGCTGCCTTCCCAAATGGAGGGGCGGGGTTAGAAAATGTCGACCCTAAAAGTGTACACCTCGCCTTATTCCACGGATATCCGTCTCCGGCGCTAAGGTCTCAACAAGTACGGAGCTAACATGAAAATTACACACAAAATGGTTCGACCGACCTCAAGCACTTGTCCCTTGGGCACTACGGACACCCCTCAGGTCACTAAGACCACCTCTGATCCGATTTCCTTTTCAGGTGCCTCCAGAAGAACCCTTCCACGGTGTGGGCAACCGGGAAGTGGTAACTGCCCTCATACCTCTAACAGCACTCACGATCACTGTAATCATAATGATTTCCATTATTCCTCATACATCGACTTTCAACACTAAACTTCCTCCTTTGTCTTCTTCAGGTGTCATCATAGCCAACGATTCTAATGCGCAAAATACTCCTAGGTTTACTGAAACCTCCCTCCAAACTACACATTGTAGCCTTAGACATACACAGTGTCAAATCGACCAACAGGCCTCCTTGGCCAAAACCCTAGAATCTCGTACCATTGATGTATTCTGTGTCTCCAAAACACACGTACAGGATCCTAGTGTGGTCATTCACTTGACTTCACCTCGCCAAAACGGAGAGCCAACGTGATACACCCTCCATGTATCTGGTGACTCGATGGCTAGTTCTCGTGGACTGGCGGGTGTAAGCATAGCACTGAGTACGAGGGCAGAACAAGCACTATTAGAGTGGATCCCCATTGACAGTCGTCTATGTACTGCTCGGCTAAGCGGATCCGTAAGAACTCGAAAGGATAGGGACACACGTCGTTGTTTTTTTGTCGTTTCTGTCTACGCTCCCACTGACTGCAGCCCGGATCAAGTGAAAGATGATTTTTACAGTAATCTTTCTGAATTTCTTCAAAAAAGGGTCAAAGTCATCCTGTGGTAACCATAGAGATTAGTTTGACCAATATAGTATCTAAAATAATAGCTTCAATGATTATCGGACGCCTAACTAAGACTAGTGTATTGCAAACACGAGAAAATCAGGCTTGTTTCAGACCTGGTCGTGGCTGCATCGACCACATATCCACCATTCGCCAGGTTTTAGAACACAGACATGCTTATCAGAGTCCGATACACAAATTTCTGGACTACTTCTATCTGTTTACTGCAGGTTCAAGGTCATGCTAGACGTGTAAAGTACTTCGCACTTCGAAGGTGCAAAACACATGCCATACCTATGGACATTAGTTGCCAACTGATTAGTTGCGGATTGCATGGCTTGGGTATCATCGCACAGTAATACTGCAATGTCAGTTCTGAAATTATTATGGACACCCGTCTTTCTGTAATTCAGAGATTTTTTAACTTATGTAGCTATTGATGGGGTTATTTCCCTTTTAAAATTATTTTTCTTGGTTTTAACTCCTCACTAATTAGGCCCCAACAATAATTCTCTACTGTTTTTTTTTCACAGACTTGGACGCAAGAATAGTTATGCTTACTTCTACTCCGGATACACAGCCTATATCGTTGCCATCATAATGACTTTCGTAATGATGCACGTATTCAAACACGCTCAGGTGAGCGAACAGTTTTTAAGTTGTTTATTTCAGAAAAAGTTCCTCTCATTTGTTCTACGTAATAAACAAAAAGCTATCGTAATGTTTACCCTGAATATGTTTTCGGTCAGAGGGATTGTCGAACTATTCAAAGGAATATCCTGGCATAAAAAGTATTTACATGTATATTATTCATATATATATTGAGTGGATGTAGTTCCAGTTCTGGATTTTTCTATAGTTAATTTGCATTTGAACCTTCATATGTTTTAAATCTCGTCACTAAAAGATAGAGTATCTTTCGCTATAGTCTATTAACCAACTAGTTTTATGATAATCAGAGCTCTTCATTGCTCATTTTATCGACAAACTTTGTCCATTGTTATGTCAATGGTTATATGATTAATATTGTTCCCAATAATTTGTATTTAGTGACGACTTCACTAGACTAAGCAGTGATCCTAGATTTAGCAATATCTTATCTCATAATATCTAAGAAATCCACCTTTCGCCGACTTAAAAAGCCTTTTCATAGCTACATTTGTCTTCACTGTTATATCACTGATGTTATTGTTGATGTCGATTTCTGTGTTGCAGAATGATTCCAAGCAAATTACGCCTTCCTCTCTTTGTGACATTATTTATTTATTTGGACACAAATATTGGTACAGGGGGGCACCAGATACATATGCCCCACACAATAATAATGAGAATGGGAAGAGATAAAGAATGTAAGGTGCATGTAAAAGAAAAAAGAAAAATAACGACCACAAATTAATGTATGGTAGTGAAATAATAATAATAATAATAATAATAATAATAATGGGGGAAACAGAAAGGTAAAACCAGAAAAAATTCATTCATTTGAAGAAGTTACGGTCACTTTTCATGAAGAAAGCAAAAGAAGGTTACAGCAGGATCGCTACTGGCTTCTATTCTGAGCCATATCTGATAACGACTCTAGCCACTGTGTTGCAACATCTCTAAGACCCCGACCAGGGAGTCGTGAAGGACCACCAGAAGCTAGTTCTGTGCAGTTTTCTTTCGTACCATGTCATACACTGACCATCTCTCCGCTTTTTCCAACCAGTCCCAGTGCCGGTAAATAATGCACGACGTGGAATTCTCTGGGACGACATTCGTAGAACATGTCCAAGCCACCGAAGTCGGTGTTCCAAGATAGTGACACCAATTAAATTATCGCCTCTGCGCCCGAACACACGATGCCGAACCTCTGCATTACTAACATGGTGTTGCCACTGGATGTCAGCAATCCTTCGGAGACAACGATGATCAAACACAGAGAGTCGTCTAACATCCTCAACTCGGAGAGGCCAGGTTTCACAAGCATAGAGCAGAACTGCTCTCATCAACGCGCTGTAGATCCGACCATTTACAGTCAGACTAACATCACGAAGGCGCCAAAGATGGTCCAGACTGGCATAATCCGCTCTGGCTTTCATTATACGTGCATTGATCTCATCACTCACGCCACCACCATTACTTATACAACTACCTAGATACACGAAATTCTCGACTACTTCTATCTGAGTACAGGATTAGAATCCTACCAGTCTTGTAAAGGTACTTTGCACTTAGAAGGTGCGAAGCAAATATCATACCTACGGACACTAATTACCAACTGATTAAGCGCGGATTGCACGGCTTGGGCATTCTCGCACAGTAAGACAATATCATCCGCATACTCAAGGTCGAGAAGTCTTTCTCCAGGCAACAGATCCACACCACCATTACTTACATCCGTCAGAGCTGTTTCCAGAATGTCATCGATGGCAAAGTTGAAGAGGAATAGTGAGATTGGGCAACCCTATCCAACCCCACTGCTTGAGTGGAACAGTAGAAAGAGGTGATTGTATGCCCTCATTCTGCCTGAGGTATTTGTATATCGGGCTTTTAGGATGTTAATAAACTTCTCAGGCACACCCTTCTTCAATAGACAACCCCAGAGAGCAGTCCTGTCCAACGAATCGAAGGCAGCTCTAATGTAAAGAAACACTACTATTGTTGACCTTTGATAAGTATAACGGTGTTCTAACAGTTGGCGTAGGGTGAAGATATGATCAATGCACCCTCGACCAGAACGAAAACCAGCCTCTTCTTCGCGAGTCAATCTTTCTTGGGTTTTGAACAACCTACGAAGTATGACAGAGGCCAATATTGTGGACGCAATCGGAAGTAGACTTATCCCCCGAAAGTTGTTACAGGAACGACGTGAACCCTTTTTAAAGATAGGGACAACTATCGACTCATTCCATGACGTTGGTACACTCTCTAGTTCCCAGATCTTTGTAAACAACGTCGTCAGTCCCTTAGTCAGAAAGTCACCACCATCTTTGAAAAAAGCTGGAGGTAGGTCATCTGGACCCGGTGATTTGTAGGGTTTCAAGAGTTGGAGTTCCTTGCGAACTTCGCCTCATTTGGTTGATCAGTCGTCACAGGCCATGGAGGGCAGGACAGTCTGACCGATGTTGCCGGAGCAGCAGACCAGTTGAACGCCCCTTCGAAGAACTCTGCCCATCACCCAAGACGTCGATGAATGTTAGTGATTGGCATCCCGTCATCCTCACACATTGTTTCACTCACACAAGACTTCCTAATGCCAGTGACTCAGATAAGTTGAAAGAGCTTTCGTCAGTTACCAGATGCAGCTGCTGCTTTCAACTCATTAGCACGCTCCGACCACCAGGCTTCTCGGTCCTTACGCAAGCTTTGCCCGATTTCATTACGTAGCATCCTTCGTTTGTGGTCAAAATCACAGTCACCCGGAGTAGACCGACGGGTCTCGATGACTTGTAAGGAGCCTGGAGAAACCCTGTGCTTATAAGAGGGACGTTTGAGAAGCCGTAAGTGACTTTACTCTCCATTTCCATTGTGTCATGTAAAGGTAGCCAGTGTTAATCTATACTTTTCGGTGGATTGATGGATAGCCTTGAACCTAACTCGGTTTGATATCTAGCTGCAATCAGTTTACTGATATCAATCCGTTCAGGACGATGAATTTGTTGGCCACTGAAACAAAGGCATGATCAGAGTCCAAATAGGTAGTCCAAAAGGAGTAGCAGTCTTGTACACGGTCACGCCAGCGGTAGCTGATCGCGATGTGATCACTCTAAGTCCAGGCTTGATATTTTTCTCTTAGTTGCTTGATCATTGTTAGTAATAATACTTTTTAACAAAAAGCACTTCAATGTTTGTTGTTTACACTAATTTTCCTTGTAAGGAGTTTTGATATTACAAGCTGTGGTTGCAGAAATTATTTTCTGAATTTCATCAACCTGTATGTAAATCTGAAAATATTCAGTCATGTAAATTAGATGACTTCCCATATTTAAAAATCATATAAGCTTTAGAAGTCTCATTAGGTGTGTGTATTTTTTCACTGGTTGAGTCCTGGAACAATTGATTGAATAGAGGATATCGTTAGTATTAACTGCCGACTTCATTCTTCTTGACAGTGGAATGTTTCTCCATGAGCTACCGTTTGAATAACATTTGTTGATGCGCAAAGATCTACCTTCTGATAACTCAATCTAACATAGAAAGTCGTCTCAGTTAGTTTTAGGCATGTGGACTTAAGTTGTATACTCGGATATGTTCGTTTTGTGTTAGGGGTGATTAGTTTGTTCACATTAATTTAGGGTCATGCAAATGCCTCAAAGTTCTTGAGACAAGTTTGATTTCCTCTCTCCCGATGTGTAGTTAGAAAACGACTGGTTTCTGGCACATAGTACCCTAGTGTTGAGTTTAGTGTAGTAGATATCTCGACAACTATAGGATTTACATCCAATGGATTCTTAAGCCTTTCTCAGCTACTGCACGAGTGTATGGTGGTTTTCAAGTCCTAGATGCTGTTAGTCTCCAGGTGGCTGTCTTTACTGTGGGTGACGCAACACAATTGGGCTTGGTGACCACATTATAGCCTTATGTCACTTGATGCCTTCTACTACTATATTTCTTGAGGAATATACCTTTGACTTCACAATGGAAACTGGGATTGGCTAAGACAAGAAGCAGTTCTTGTCTTCTCCAAATGGCAACTAATTGTTCTACACATTCTACTTCTATCAAATAGGATCTCAGCTCGGTTTAACAAAATTTTCTAGGAAAAGGGCCACCAGTCCTGTTTAAGTGGAATGTAATAACAATTCTATTGACTTCTTGAAACCAACCTCGCTGTTATCCATGGACTGAGTCAACTATTTTTCTGTTATTACGGTTGTATTCAGCCTGTGAGAGTCAATTAGGGTTCTTTCTCCGGTCTTTTATTAAGCAAAGTTCGAGGATTGATGTGAAAAGCCTAAAATCCATCCTAAATACCTTGTGCCACGCCCAGAGTATTTTCGGGACCATCCATTCTCGAAGTCACACACATCAGAAACTCGTAATTTGTGATGCCTTTCCATTTTCTTCTAAACATATATTTAGCTTTATACGACAAATGATAGGTCCTTACAGTCGTGAAATCTTGATCCATAGTATTTATTTGCGCTTTAATTTTGCCCGCCAATTTTTCCATTGCCTCGACCGCCCGTACATTAGATCGTTATTGCATACTTTCTGTATGTTCCCGACTAGCTGACATTTGGGGAAAACAGTTAAGAAGACATTTTACGACACATTCTTGATGCTGAAAACAAGTTTCAAGCTGAACGTTTTAATTGACCCTATGAAAGGGACTTAAAGTTCTTAAATGGTCAGTTCTCGATCAATTCTAAACCGTGTATTTTGTGAATAGGAACTTTATATTCTTGACACTTGTACTTAGTCTTTTTAGGAGTACAAACCAATGTCCCGTCCAAATTATTCATTGGGTTTACCAAAATTTATCTCTGATCTGATTCTGCTCTTACGATATGTTGGAGTCTGTTCCGCCGAGAACTGGCCGTCTTCGATAAAATGACTACTTACTGCATTGAATCCAATATCCCGATGATAATGAGATTGTTTTTTATTTCAATTAATCTTTTCAAGAGGCAATCTATCTTGGTATTCCGATCTTGCTCTGCTCTCTTTAGGAGCTGCATTGATTGATAGTTCATAGATCTTTTTGCCAACGGACATAATTTAACTGTATTCTGAGATCCAAATATTTTTCTTTGTTATGTGTTCCTTAAGTACATTTAAAAGTTGAATGTATGTTAAGTGAGAGATCGAACATTTCTGAACACCTTTGTTGTCAGAGTTTTTTGTATTCTACTTTATTGGACTTCTTATACAGTACAATCGTGAATTTCATTTAAACGTCGTGGTATCAACCTATGCAGTTGTCACGCTGTAACAATGATTCATAGCTCGGTTATTGATGAGCTCGAATTTCATTACGTAAGAATCTACGTTTATCGTCAAACTTGCGCTTAGCGGGAGTAGTCCAACGTATCTCAATGAGTTGTAAGGTATCTGTATAAACCCAGTGCTTATAAGCGGGAAGCTCCAAGCGAATTTACTTGCCATTTCCATGGCGTCATGTAAAGGTAGCCAGTGCTAATCTATACTTTTCGGTGGATTGATGGATAGCCTTGAACCCAACTCGGTTTGATATCTAGCTGCAATCAGTTTACTGATATCAATCCGTTCAGGACGATGAATTTGTTGGCCACTGAAACGTAATGTAAGATTGGCGCAAACAAAGGCATGATCAGAGTCCAAATAGGTAGTCCAAAAGGAGTAGCAGTCTTGTACACGGTCACGCCAGCGGTAGCTGATCGCGATGTGATCAATCTAAGTCCAGGCTTGAGGTGCAGAGGTAGGATGCCAAGTGTCACATCTATGATGACTATGTCGGACGTTAGTGCTAGTCAGAAACAGGTTGTGCTCTGCGCACAGTTGCAGTAGACGGTCCCTGTTATCTGACATGCCACCAAAAAGTCCCCATCGGCCACCTAAATGACTCTGTTTTATGCTTAGACACCCAGCCTGAGCATTCAAGTCTCCAGCTAGTACTACAATATCTGTTGGACGCACTTTTTGAAGAAGAACAGTTAACTGGTGGTAAAATTCACCATTGCTGGAAGGTTGGAATTTCAATGACGGTAAAGAGTCGAATATTTCAATGTGAAAAATTAGTTCGAACAAAGAATATCCTCCTAAATTTATTCTCTGCGTGTTTTCAAAGTTTCCAGATATTGTCAGGATTACGTATTTATGATTGTACATATAATGCCAGACAAATAATACAAAACGAGTTAAAAAAAGTAATCATAGGTGAATTGACAGGTTATATGACAACTATTCAGTTAGTATTTATGCAATACATATAAAGTAGATGTAATAAATGGGGAAAAGGTATCTTAACGTTCACTAGCATAAAGACTATGTTAGACTCAATGATGGTCGCAAGTCTACGGTTCGTGAACGTCAAGATATGTACCAGATTCTACTTTGTGGCTGACTAATTGACTTCAGTACCATCCATTTTATCTGAATAATTTCACCAAAAATTTAAATTACTGTTAAACTTTTTTCGTAGTATTATCATTATTCACTGAAAAGATTCATTGATTGTTATGATCCATTTCAGGATTCTATTTCCTGTAGAATAAGTAGTATGTATTGTTTTTATCCTATTCCATCACGTTTTTTTTCGTAGTAGGAGACTTATTTTTAGGAAATATTAGCTTTAATATTTAGTTATTCTAGCTTCCTTATTTTAAAATTATTCCACACTTTCTGTTTGCAGATTTTTATTGGAGTAAAACTTCTGTTACATAATTAACTATGTTTACTACCTTTTTATTAATATAGCCGGCTTTACTTTACCTGGTACCTGCTTGTTTGGGTGCACCATTGCTTATGGCTTTAGTGAAAAATGATCTTAGTGCAATGTTCAAGTGAGTTCCTGTTCTGATGATTTTTCCTAGCAGACAAACCTTTCAGCTTTTTTTAAAATTGTCAGTGCATTCCAATCTGTAATCTGATTATTTTAAAAAAAAATTATATAAGCTACTCATTAGAAATGGCTTAACAAGACTGACCTATCGTAAATTGTAATATTATTTTTGTTCGATAGATGTACATAGTCCTACTGCGGTGTAGGCTACTTATGTTGACAGATATAAGTAGTATATAGCAGCAGTCGGAAGTAAAATGCCTGCCAGCAGAAGATTGAATTGAAGAGGACATGAAGGGAAACAGAGAGCAATTGTAATTACAACAGGATTAGAGGGATGATGGAGTGTAGAAAGGACAACGCAAAGAAGATGCGCAAATGATGTATTTCATGTATGACTTTCACATTTTACTAAGCCACTGTGTGATTTTACATCAAACAATAAATTGGTTTTCCCAACATGAGTTCTCGTTCGCTACAGTAATGTGTGGTCACTTGTCTAGGAAATGTTGGTGAGAAAAAAAAGATAAAATGTGAATGTATTTGACACAAAATTCAACACATTTCAGGGTATATCTTCTGGTGTCTTTACTTCCTAATTTTAAACCTTATACCTATGTAACGAAAGTAAAAATAAATGAATAATTAGTGCATTTAATGAATGTTAGTTTTAGGAATTTGATTGCATTGACTTTTATTCACAATGGAATAATGTTCTGTTATTACTGATAATAACTCTGTCATCTCTATACAGATAGCAATCGTAATTGATTTATCTACACAATTTATGCACAATATGCTGCTTAAAAATGTAAAATATTAAGTCATTAATATCGGCTAATTAAGCAGGCACGTAATACAAGTTAATAAGTAATCTGATGTTTGTATGTGACTATTACCATATGCACAAGATCTTTATTTGTTCTAGCAAAAACTAAGCTAAGGTCATCAGTTGTTAAACCATAAATCTAATTATACATTTCCAAAAATCGATGCAGTGGAATGGTTGAAATGCTCGTTTTCTGACAACTAAATTTAGATAGTAAGATATTTTCTACATTTTTGTCTTAATCCTCTCGTTGACTTGTTTTAATCGTTGCTTACTTCATCTTATTTTAACATGCGGAACTGCTACACCTCGGAAGTGTATTTACATAACCTAAGTTATTTTTTTGTATGCATGTGTCAAAACTATCTGAATTAAGTACTAAGTAGGAATTCTCTCTAAAGCCGCTATTTTTTTTAATAATTAGTATGAATAACCACATAGGTTGGATTAAATCATCATCGAAACATCAGTCAGTTGTTAACAATATAGATCCTCGAACAAATGTGCATTGGTCTAAGATGCCATATCACGTTAACACAGTGAGATGAAATTAACACGAGAATACAATATATAATAATTTAGTAGTAAACATAACGAGAAAGACTAAACATTAATAATATTCGAGACAGAAGATAATAATATATAAGAAAGGATACTAAAACTCGGAATCGAGATCCAGAAGATGGAAAGTAAATGCACCCTGACGTATTCTAAGCCAAATCATCCGACTTCTGATCGAAATATATTTATGAGGCATAATCCATTAGATGTATAGTCGTCAACTCTAATTTCATTATATTGTTGTTTTCGAAATATAGTAGACTAGTTTATTCAATTTTCTTTCTAGCTATGAAGATGAACCGGAAGCTGAAAAGAAAAGTCAGGAGGCTGAAGTGTCAAACAAATCTAAGAAAAGTAAATAACAATATCAATCTTTGGGGTGGGGGCAATTGACCGATTTTATCATCCTAATCTGTCCATATATAACTTATGTACACAAATATATTCATTTCTACAGTGTTAAGTATGTAACGTTTGCGTTACGTGCTGACCGTTTGTTTTGTTTTCTGTAAAATAATGTTGTTTGCGAAAAACCCTAACGTAACTTTCTCGTTCGACATTTGTTTTAACTTTATCGCTTTGCTAATAAATCTGTTACACTCTCTGTTTATTTTGTGACATCAGTATTCAAAGTCTAAACATCGTAATAAGTGAGCATTATTGGCAAGCAAACAAAGTTACTTCTTCAGATCATTTTTATTTTATGAATACATATTTAAAATAATATCCTGATTGTTTTGACAGTGCTGATAATAAATCCCATTCTAAATTATACTTTATTTTAAATGCTGATGTATTTGTATGATTGGTGGCAACTGACAATTTAGCGCATTGCATTTTATGTCCATAAGTTGGAATAAACTTGGGAATCACAGATTAGTTTCTGAAGTAATGATACGTTGTCTATGCAAATTCTCGGTGAACTTTCGACGAAACCATTAGACCTAATATGACATGAGAACCTCGTTGAAGTGTATATTTAAATGTGAAGTGTTAAGTATATATTACTCGGTAGATCTCTTTCTTTCCATTTAATTAGGCACGGGTATCTTAGACTTTTTAGAACTTTTATTGGATACATTATGCTTCGATTACTCAAGCCACAAAGCCTGGTGAGGTAGGTCTATTTTCAAACATTTCCTTACAACTAAGAAATAGACAGTGATGTATGCTAGCGTAAATCTTCCCATGTGGTAACAACTCATTGCATTATTTGCTTCGAAATGTAGGTACAAAGATTAAACTGTTAATGTTAAAGAGCTACAAGTAAGGTTTTTTGTCATTAGATTTGACGAAACCGTATGACTACACTTACTTATACGACGGTTCACTCCACAAGTAGGTATCAGTAACAAGATGTACTAACACAAAACAATGGAAAGAAGTTATTCACAATATTAATAATCCAGTATGTGATACATCCGTTTGTCTGTTTTCACTGATTGACCAGCTACAACTCATACTGTCCAAGTACACCAATAGTCCTGGTAATCTGGTCAGTTGACAGTTTCTTATCCTATTCAAGTAGAATATAGGCTAGTAGTGAATTCTTGTTCCCATTTTTAACTAGCTTTGTATGTCAGGATTTGTGGTAGTTTAACGCACGAAGTAAGTACGTAACACCAGATAGTTTGGCATTATAATTTGTCAGATATGAAGTTTCATCTCGCTCCCAAGGATATTTGTGTTTACTGATTCTATACTGTAGGTGAATGATAAAGACAGTCTAAGTACTTGTTTTCCGATAGCAATTACAACTCTTGGGGATAATTCGTTTATGCTTCAAGGATGATACTTTCTGACTGACTGGTTTCAAATAGTACTTTGCTTCGTACGACAACTACCGTATTGTTAACAACCAGTTTATTTTGGAGAAGGGTGTACTTTCAATTGATGTGCTAATGGGGTATAATTACAAAACACTAACTTTATGTTTCTCATGTGCCGCAAGATATAAATGCAAACTATGTAGACTTTTTAAGTTCTGTTTTGACACCCGGGCAGTACCTAATCCACATAAATCAGACTCGAAAAAATTACCTTCGCTTCAATTCGCGTTCACAGAAATTGCATTTACAATTATTTGGTAACACTAGTTTATATCACTTATTAGTTCCCTTATATTCCCATTTTTGTATATCCCTTTACTTTTCAACTCATACAGCAGGTCACCTATGTTGCGAGTCCTTTACTATCTAAATGTCCTCAGGTCACCGTTTGGTCGAAAGTTGAATACAACCAACGATGATTCTTAGTCGGTCTTTCTAAAACCACATTATTCATTCAAACTGGACTCCTCCAACGTTTGGACACCAATGTAGGTTGGACAACAGATAGGGTGGCTATGTCTTTAGAAATTCTTAACATCGACTTTGTTGCCTATCCGTATCCAAGACTCTAGTGAAGTACTGCAAATTCACTCTCCATTTGTCGCTTCGAGAAGGTTGTTTCAAGTATGTATTTAAAAGAACCCTGTGGAATCTTGATGAGTTTTAACACCAACTAAGTGTTACTCTACAGGAAGAGAGTTCGACAGATATTGTAGTGCCAACCAGAGACTTGAGTGCACAAGTAAGTTGTTTAAAAGAAGAAAGTCATTTAGGTGACCGATAGGTACTCGTTGGATGCAGATCAAAAAACAGCAACTGTCTACTTCAGCTTTGCACAGATTACTTGTCTCTGGTTGACACCAACTTTCAGTAGTCATCGTCGACGTGCGACTTGGTGTCCTCCATCTATATCTCAAGCCTGGACTTAGATTGATCACATCGCGATCAGCTACCGCTGGCGTGACCGTGTACAAGACTGCTACTCCTTTTGGACTACCTATTTGGACTCTGATCATGCCTTTGTTTGCGCTAATCTTACATTACGTTTCAGTGGCCAACAAATTCATCGTCCTGAACGGATTGATATCAGTAAACTGATTGCAGCTAGATATCAAACCGAGTTAGGTTCAAGGCTATACATCAATCCACCGAAAAGTATAGATTAGCACTGGCTACCTTTACATGACGCCATGGAAATGGCAAGTAAATTCGCTTGGAGCTTCCCGCTTATAAGCACTGGGTTTATACAGATACCTTACAACTCATTGAGATACGTTGGACTACTCCCGCTAAGCGCAAGTTTGACGATAAACGTAGATTCTTACGTAATGAAATTCGAGCTCATCAATAACCGAGCTATGAATCATTGTTACAGCGTGACAACTGCATAGGTTGATACCACGACGTTTAAATGAAATTCACGATTGTACTGTATAAGAAGTCCAATAAAGTAGAATACAAAAAACTCTGACAACAAAGGTGTTCAGAAATGTTCGATCTCTCACTTAACATACATTCAACTTTTAAATGTACTTAAGGAACACATAACAAAGAAAAATATTTGGATCTCAGAATACAGTTAAATTATGTCCGTTGGCAAAAAGATCTATGAACTATCAATCAATGCAGCTCCTAAAGAGAGCAGAGCAAGATCGGAATACCAAGATAGATTGCCTCTTGAAAAGATTAATTGAAATAAAAAACAATCTCATTATCATCGGGATATTGGATTCAATGCAGTAAGTAGTCATTTTATCGAAGACGGCCAGTTCTCGGCGGAACAGACTCCAACGTATCGTAAGAGCAGAATCAGATCAGAGATAAATTTTGGTAAACCCAATGAATAATTTGGACGGGACATTGGTTTGTACTCCTAAAAAGACTAAGTACAAGTGTCAAGAATATAAAGTTCCTATTCACAAAATACACGGTTTAGAATTGATCGAGAACTGACCATTTAAGAACTTTAAGTCCCTTTCATAGGGTCAATTAAAACGTTCAGCTTGAAACTTGTTTTCAGCATCAAGAATGTGTCGTAAAATGTCTTCTTAACTGTTTTCCCCAAATGTCAGCTAGTCTGGAACATACAGAAAGTATGCAATAACGATCTAATGTACGGGCGGTCGAGGCAATGGAAAAATTGGCGGGCAAAATTAAAGCGCAAATAAATACTATGGATCAAGATTTCACGACTGTAAGGACCTATCATTTGTCGTATAAAGCTAAATATATGTTTAGAAGAAAATGGAAAGGCATCACAAATTACGAGTTTCTGATGTGTGTGACTTCGAGAATGGATGGTCCCGAAAATACTCTGGGCGTGGCACAAGGTATTTAGGATGGATTTTAGGCTTTTCACATCAATCCTCGAACTTTGCTTAATAAAAGACCGGAGAAAGAACCCTAATTGACTCTCACAGGCTGAATACAACCGTAATAACAGAAAAATAGTTGACTCAGTCCATGGATAACAGCGAGGTTGGTTTCAAGAAGTCAATAGAATTGTTATTACATTCCACTTAAACAGGACTGGTGGCCCTTTTCCTAGAAAATTTTGTTAAACCGAGCTGAGATCCTATTTGATAGAAGTAGAATGTGTAGAACAATTAGTTGCCATTTGGAGAAGACAAGAACTGCTTCTTGTCTTAGCCAATCCCAGTTTCCATTGTGAAGTCAAAGGTATATTCCTCAAGAAATATAGTAGTAGAAGGCATCAAGTGACATAAGGCTATAATGTGGTCACCAAGCCCAATTGTGTTGCGTCACCCACAGTAAAGACAGCCACCTGGAGACTAACAGCATCTAGGACTTGAAAACCACCATACACTCGTGCAGTAGCTGAGAAAGGCTTAAGAATCCATTGGATGTAAATCCTATAGTTGTCGAGATATCTACTACACTAAACTCAACACTAGGGTACTATGTGCCAGAAACCAGTCGTTTTCTAACTACACATCGGGAGAGAGGAAATCAAACTTGTCTCAAGAACTTTGAGGCATTTGCATGACCCTAAATTAATGTGAACAAACTAATCACCCCTAACACAAAACGAACATATCCGAGTATACAACTTAAGTCCACATGCCTAAAACTAACTGAGACGACTTTCTATGTTAGATTGAGTTATCAGAAGGTAGATCTTTGCGCATCAACAAATGTTATTCAAACGGTAGCTCATGGAGAAACATTCCACTGTCAAGAAGAATGAAGTCGGCAGTTAATACTAACGATATCCTCTATTCAATCAATTGTTCCAGGACTCAACCAGTGAAAAAATACACACACCTAATGAGACTTCTAAAGCTTATATGATTTTTAAATATGGGAAGTCATCTAATTTACATGACTGAATATTTTCAGATTTACATACAGGTTGATGAAATTCAGAAAATAATTTCTGCAACCACAGCTTGTAATATCAAAACTCCTTACAAGGAAAATTAGTGTAAACAACAAACATTGAAGTGCTTTTTGTTAAAAGTATTATTACTAACAATGATCAAGCAACTAAAAGAAAAATATCCAGTGATCAAAAGTTAATACGCAACTAGTAAGATAGAATATAAACTCAAGATCAGTACATCTTAAAAATATGTGTGATCAAAGCCACAGGTTATATGATATTAACCACTACATAAATTTAGTTTTTTTTTTTTTGCATGATAAACCAATAAATATTTGCATATGCAGATATATCCCAAATCCAAGTAACAAGAGAAATGAAGGCTCCCTGATTGTTGAACTTGACGTTTTCTATTTAGAGTGTTCATAACTGAAAAGTTTAAAAGGACTGAAAAAACTTACTGAGCGATCCTTGCTAGCTGATACAAACCGGTTAGAGCAACAAAAGCGTTTACACTGAGAAGGTTGTAATTTTTCGGGATAATAACCATAGAATACCGAGACCATATGAGACCGGTTGCTGCGAGCGCTGTGCTTTGGTATAAACTGACGTTCTGGACTGGTCGGTTAATATCTGCTAGACCAGCTATAACAAGAAGCTTTAATTAACTAGTAAGTTGTGGATTGTCGTTAACCAACCCATTTGAAAGTAGGAGCCCAGAAAAATATGGTTTTAGGTCCCGCAGGATGATCCCATAAAGGTTTGATTCGAGCAGGAACCTTTTTATCAACGGCCGAAATCACCGCCCGGTAGACTGCTGACATCTGTTCGGTAAATTACGCGGCAAAACTTTGTAATCTGAATGTCCTTGGTTTGTAGTTAGTCTAAACAATCAAGCTCCATCTTTGATATTTAATATACCTGTGATTAGATAGCATAAGCAATTGAAAATTTTGAGCTACATTTTGAGGGTTAACGCACTGTTCCAAGTCTTTGCTAACATTCAGTGGGTTAATGTACAGACTCAACTGAACTTTTCATGATGAATTCGATAGTATATTTGCCCATCTTCGTATAAAGATTATGATGGTGTATGTTATAACTTCATCCCAGAACATTTGTTACTGGTCTTCAGATTTTCTTTCAAAAACAGTTCCTGGCCACCCTTTACTGGATTTTCAGAGGGATGGTATTCCAATGGTTGTAAGTGGCTCTGTGACTATCTTTAATGCCAAGAATATCATTTGATTTTTCGAAGTGTTGTATATCAAACTATTGTTTTGAATCCGCTCCTTCAGTAGCTCTAATCTTCGCTAAACCCTCTGTGAATCGCCTTGATATCTGATAGTTCTCCAAGGCTTAATTTCGTAGGCAAACCGTATCTGATTAGCAAGTCATTGGAAGAGACCGTATCAGCAACAAAAATTCCACTGCGTGTCAAGACAGATCTCTCTTAGAGGTCAGTCTTTTTTCATAAGTTAAGAGAATCTTCTGATAAGGAACGAAAGGCTAGACTTGAACACGACTTCAGTCACATTAAGTCCTTAATAAGCAAATTACTCCGAGAAACAGTCTCAGGAGTTAGCATTTTTAAGCTTTATAGAATAAGACGACAGGTGGATTCTGAGAGCCCTCAGAAAAACTGCCTATTGAAGGTTACATTTGCCACGGTCAAAGAAAGGGGATTGATTGTAGGTAACTCACGTAAACTGATTGGATTCGGAATTTATGTCCGTATTAATAGACGAGCTGCAGAAGTGGAAATAATGAGTGTCACCGAAACGGTGTTAGAAACCTCATTCTTAAGGGTTTTCAAATTGTAAAAGTTCGGAGCAAAACGATCTCAAAACCATTTCGGGTGGCAAGGGAAAGTTCCCCATAGACAAAAATGCTCACAGCCTACTAAATAAAATGGCGACCTTAAGTCAATGGTAGATAAAGAAAAATCGGATGTTATTGCTATTTCAGAAACTTGGTTAACGTCAGAGGTACTGGATAATGAAATTCAGTTGACTGGTTTTTTATCCAGTAGGGCTGATAGAGTAAATCGTAGAGGAGGCGGGGTTATCCTGTACACGAAAAGTACCCTATCCATGAGAGCAACTGAGACAGTGACACATGTTTCAGGGACATGTGAACTGGTGCGATGTAGACGTTAAGATATTGAATTAGTTGTAGTACATCTCGGTCCAGAATGTGTAGTAGATGATTTTCTCCTAAGTAAACTTAAGTCGTGGTGTAACAAGGGTAAAATCTTGTAGTAGGCGACTTTAACGCACCGTATATAAACTGGGTTAACTTAGAAGTAGGGTCATCGATAACGTCGTTCGATTGCAAACCGTTAGACACCTCGATTGGATTAGCTTTATTCCAACATGTTAGAACTCCCACACGATATGACTTAAGAAACACTTCTTTTTTAGATTTAGTCTTCACACACGGTGATGACGTTGGTCAAATGACTTTTCTTCCACCACCAGGGAGGAGTGACCACGCAGTCATCCTATTTAAATTCATGACTGAGATTGCCTGTCAAACAGTTGCGTCGGCCCGTCTTAACATATGGAAGGCAGATATGGAGGCCACAACCTCCATAGCATCGGCTGAAAACTTGGAAATTGACTCAAGGGCATCTGTACAAGGGTCGTGGACGCATTTCAGGCAGCCATACAATCGGCTAACTCAATCATACATACCCTGGACAGTTCCAAAGAAGAAGAAGCATTGTCATTTCTGGATAGGCCGGGATATCCGACGTTTAATAAGACAAAAGAAGAAATTGTGGGATGTCGCCATCCGCCTGGGCACAGAAGGCACGATGGAACGCTACAGATCGGTAAGAAACAAGTGTATAACAAAAATTCGAGAATCTCGAAGAAAATATGAAATGCAGTTGGCACAATCAGCACTCAAGAAGCCCAAGAGAATTTTATCGTACATAAACCACAGAACAAGGATACATCATTGGATTCCCAATCTAATCAAAGAAGGGAGGGAATCTGAAATGATCAAGGAAGATCAGAGGCTATGGCTGCCTATTTTGGGGCAGTTTTCACTCAGGAACCTCTTTTAGACAAAGAACTAGACCAAAATAAAGAGTCAATAAACCACCTGCTCACCGTAGACTTCGATCAAGACGATGTGCTTGAGGCTCTTAGCACCTTAAACACTGAAAAATCAACAGGATCAGATGAACTACACCCCATAATCTCGAGACATGTTGCACAATATATCGCGGCCCCACTGACTGTGGTATTCAATATGTCACTTGACCAAAGTGTGTTACCTATGAACTGGAAGGACTCAATCGTCAATTCCATACATAAAACAGGACCAAGACAAGTTCCATCGAACTACAGACCTGTAAGCCTCACCAGTGTTGTACCTAAAGTGTTGGAAGAATAGTCAAACGGACCATAATGGCATTTATGGAAACCAATAACTTGTTAAACATAAAACAACATGGTTTAGAAAGGGTCTATCTTGTACAACGAACCTCCTTATAGCAAAGGAATTTCGGATAATGGCGCTAGACAACGGAAACTCCGTAGAGTTCGTCTACATAGACTTCAGGAAGGCTTTTGACAAGGTGCAAACCAATAGACTGCTACTGAAGTTGGAAAATCTTGGTATCGCTGGACCTCTTTTAGAGTGAATTAAGGATTTACTAGTAGGTTGTAGACAGAAGGTAAGAATAAGTTCCAAGTGTTCCATCTGGAGACCAGTACTTATTGGAGTACTTCAAGGTTCCGTCCTAGGTCATTTACATTTTATAATGTATGTTAATGATCTTCCAAGTATAGTACAGTTTTAGAATTACGGTCTATTATGATATTAGCACTGCTCTAATAATAGACCTAATCCTAAAATTGTAGATTTATCATGATGTAACTGCCTAATTTATAAGATCTTACGTGGAAGTTACATCATCGTCTACACCGATTCATTGCATTGTAACAATTACCAATACGTGATAGAGAACGAGATTAGTCTAGAGATAGAATATATTTAATATGAATAGAAGACACATAGGACACTGGTATTTCGAAGGTGACAGTATTGCTTTCTGTTACGTTTGAAATACTTTACTACCGACACACTAGCTGCAAGTCGGTGAGATAGTTCAAAATCCACCCTTGAACTAGTATGGTTGCTTTGAGTATGTGGATTCGACTCCAAAACGCGTTAACTCGAGATTACTTATCAATAACTATTCATTCTGGCATTTCTAATAAACGTCCTAATGTATAAAAACCCTAGCAAATTCAGATGTTATAGTCTTACGCTTGAAATAATGAAACATCTAAAACTGGAAGAACGTAAATCAACAAAAAATGTCAGAGATTTACAATGCTTGACAACGCTGTTGTCCAAAATGTCTATTCATATGAAAATCTTAAAACCAGTTTAGTTGGAAGTCATGAATTCAGGAATGTGAAGATATAGTAAGAAAATACCTCATATTTAGAAATGCACGTGACATGAGCTGATTAGCTGTCGCAAGAGACGAGCAGCACGGTATGCTTGAGCGCCTCCAGTTATATATAAATAAATATATATATATATATATATATATATATATATATATATATATATATATATATACCGTACTCCTTTCCATATAGTTCTTTAAACTAATTACGTTGATAACAGCGCAGATACAAAGTGTCAAGTACGAATTTTACTTAGTGGATGTGTGTTTCGTAAATACGAGTATCAAAAAAGCAGAAAAGCAATAGGAAATAAAGCAAATATATGAATTATGAAAGTTCAGTAATACACTGGGTCAGGGATTATCAAGGCGACCCAGTTGATTAAACATGTTGGAAAATACAAGGAAGTAAATAGACACATACCTACCATTGTGCACAAGTTTTAAAAAATTACTCAAAGTTACAGATGAATAGTTAAGAAATTCAAGTATACAGAAGGACCAATAAGATTAAAATGATCCATCTGTTCTGAAACTAAAATAAACTTTATATGGGCGTTATAACCGGGAAGCCAAAATGATGATATTAGTCCCTTTATAGATCATAATTATGCTGTTTATGAAACGTATAAGCTAGCGAAATTCAAGCATGAAACTTAATCAAGAATAATTGAGAACTCAAATGAAAAAAACTCTCCTAGCTCAAAAGATTATCTGCGTAATAATGTGTTACTCGTAAAATTACAACCACCACAGTTGTTCTGTAACCATTTTACAGGTTATCAAAATATAGTTTAGAAAAACTAACCTAATATACTTAAGTTCGTTTAAATTGAAAACTACGTTCTTATTCCAAAATAATAGCACCATCAAACACACTGTTAAATATTTTTCGTAGTCACTTTTCATCAAACCAATAAATGGCTCCATGTATTGAATTCTGTAACAATTATGTAGATTACATTAGATAGCGTCGTTCTGTCTTAATAAGTCAGTGATCTAATATATCTAATAAAATATGCTCATAAGATTTGTTTCATATTAGTTAGGCTACGGGAAAGATACATTGTAAAATTGAACTACTATTATTTGAAAAAAATATTATCATTTTTGCTGTGTTCAAATTTGTGAAGGTATTCAATTGTATAAAGAAGCGGTAACGAGACTATAATTTGTGGACGAACCAATCAGATATAAGATAACAGGTCTTGAATTTTTGCGAGAAATTCAATCATCCATTTAGCTAAATAGTGTTTTGGTATTTTAGCTGTTGTCAGTTTGTGATGAAAACCCTAAATCTAGTTACAAACCCTAACCACCAACTGTAAATCATGATTCTAATTCCTCACACTGTTTTATAACCCTCATTTAGCTCCAGTTAGTAGGTGAACATTCTCAAGGTCACTCTAGAGTTGCTCAAATATCGTCCATAAATTATAATCTCACCTACCTTGGTTCTTAACCTACTTCAACTCCAAAGCTGATCTAGGAAACATAAATAAGATT